CCTTTCCTTCCACTCTTGGAAGATTCTATAAGAAGGACAGGGTTCCCGCTTGCTAAAATTCTCAAGCCGCAACGATTCCGGAGGTTTACGGTCCAAAGCTTGAACTTTGGGAGCCCGTGAGCATAGGGTACATAGAAGATTCTATTTGAATAGGGCTGTTTCCGTATTGCTTGCCCCATATACCCTTGGTTGTCCCTTTTTTGCTTGTGGTCTCTCTTTTCTATCCGCTCTCTTGCGGGTTTTCCCGACCGAACAAAGCATCTAACGAAACCTGCACTTGACCATCGATCCCAGCCACTTTCCTCGGCTCGGCTCTCCCCCTCTCCCTCCCAAGCAATCAAGGTGCTGTAGTGCAGCGGCTCCTGCGCGCAACATCGCGTCCAAACCGGTTGGCTACCACCCAGGATGCATGGAAATTCAACCACATTTAGTGTGGGTTTGTCTCAAAAGCGTCCCCGAAAATGGTCGGTACCCCTTTGAGTTTCAACCCACCAGAGGGGGCACCATGCTGAATCAAACTCCGCCGGGCTCTGTCCCCCGCTTTTCTCTGGTGGTTTGGACGCCATCGACAGTTGCAAGCAGTTTCCACCAGCCACATGCATTTGTCTAAAGCAAAGACACGTGCGACACCAGTAAATAATTGGAATGGGGTCCACCAAGGGGGTAGCAAGTCACTCTTAAACCAAAACTGCGTCGCAAGCGCTCCAAGTGATTAATGCGGCGGCAACAAGTGCAAAATATGCTTGATCAGCCTAGTAGACAGAAAGCGAGTGAGATTTCCTGGCTGGGCATGGGAAAAATCGGAAGATTGCTTGAACCTGGTTGTTGCGGTGTCCACCCCTATGTCCCTCCTAAATTAGACATAGACTACTATAACATTTGAGTGAGCCTCCATGGGAAGAAAGATCATACACCCAGTGTTGAGCCCTCCCCCCAAGAAGGAAGCATGTTTAGAATGCTCCAACTCTACTTCCGGCTAGAACAATTTGAGAGGAGACTCACCGAGAAGCAAATGGCAGGGCGACCTGCCGGGGCCACAGGCACCGTCGCAAGCCGACAGCTTGCTCACTTGGCTGTGAATTTCAAGGGCACTCTTTGGTGGACGGAGCTCCGTGCTGATCCATGTCCAACCACTTTTGAGGTGGTTCCACCTTTTGAAGCTCATGGAAGACTTGAAACCGCGCAGCCCATTGTACAACCGGTATGCAGGGTTCGCCTCTACGGAAAGCCCCGAAGATGGGCGTTTCCAGCCTTCCCTTTCGCCTCAAACAAAAGGGGGGTGCAACAAAACAAGACCACGCACATATTCTGAACGAGCGGTGGAGGCTCTGCCCCCGCCTGATTAACGCGGTATACCCGTACATGACAATCATGCTTAGCCTCATACTCCGCCAAATGACATCACTTTCATGTGAAATTACCTTCGGAGCCCACCGTTGCAAACCTGTACTGATTCCAAAAACCTGAAAGGGATCAACAGGATGGGGGGATCGTTGGTGAGTTCCCTTCATCCCTCGCCTGAACCGGCTTGTGACACTTACATGGCTGCCAGGATCTCCATTTTCTCAGAGAAGGATCCCTGGACACTGTTCGGGCACGGCTTGTTACCCACATCTGCGCCATCGCCGCATGCGCAAACGGCCTCCCTCCTTCGCAAAAAGTTGAATGAGGGACTGCGCGTAGAGGTTGAAGCGAGCCACCATCATGATCCTCAGGCCCGGCTTCGGGGCTTCGGGGCTTCGGCGTTGAACCCGTGGCCGCGCGTGCATGGGGAGGCCAACAGTTCGGCCCTTTCAGCTTGGCTCGACGCTACCAGAGGGGTCCGCAAACCTTGGTGCGGTCTCAAAAAACGATGGCAGCAATGGCAATGGTGGGAATCCGATCAAAGGAACTCGCACCTTCGAACCCGATCCATCGGGCCCTGGGCCATCGGATCCAGAGTCTCCTTTAGGACCCAGTGCAAGCAAGCGCTTTGGAGCCTTTGAAGGGGGAGTGAGGGGCCAACTGCTCCCGAGTCGGAAAAGGAGTCAACCCAAGACCATGGGAATTGCAAAAGAATCAGGGCTGATTTTTCTGCACCTGTTTCAAGAGAAAGTCCCTTACCAACCTTCATCAACCTAGGTTTTGATTGTGACCTCTTGTGCTTGTCCTTCTCTTTTGCTTTCCAAACAACCCCCAAGAATGTGATCAATTCCACGAGTGCCACAAGACATCCCAATCCCAATGGCATCTAAATGTGGCTCAGCCAAGCTTTGGACCGCCTCCTTTCGGTTCCCTCTGCAGATACAAGCGGCAAGGTCAGCACTTGTAGGCGCACACACCACACACACACGCACATACCACACATCGCCATCACCCTGAAACAACATCTGGCAAGCAGAAGGAGTCAAGCTGCGGGTAGAACAGGATGTGCTCGTAGCTCACCTAGGCGCAAAGCCGTCTGCGACAACATCTGGATGATGTCGGAGGAAAAAGGCGGGTTGATCGGCTGATCTGCTTTCCACCAAGCTGATCCAAAGGACAACTCCCTTTGACCAAACTTAGAAATGTCCCCGCAAAACATCGATTTGCTGGCAGGCTTGGCCAGTGACCAGCCAAAAAAAGTGTACACTTTTTGGGCCACCACTAGTAAAAAGGAAGAGCCACCAAGGAAAACAGTGTAAAGTGTGTCCACTGGCTGGGTGAGAAAGGGAAAACAGACGAACACCCGAAAGGCACACACTGAAAAGCACTGGCAGAGGCCCAAGGCCTCACTCTCTCAAGGGCCGTAGGATCTTTCTTGGGCTGCATAGTTGTTATACTGCCAGATGCGCACTCCGTTCCCCAACTGTTTCGTTTCTTTTTTAAAAAGAAAAAGTGCAACCCAGTGTGTTGATGTCAGAAAAGGGGGGGGGGGGAAAACATGTTTTGTAGTTTATATATACATATATACAAGGGCAATGCAGCCCAGTGTTTGTTCCTTTTGTTTAAGGAAACCTATGTTCAAACCCCCAAAGGTCCAAGAACTCCAAAGAGCTGCGGCAAGTCGCCATGAACCTCGCGACGGCGTCCAAGGCCTTGATCTCCTTGTAGTAGGTGCTAAAGAACCTCGGCCCAGACGCAACATCGGGATTCCCGGCAGGCCAAAGCGGCAAAGGTTGGTGCCCCTCAATGTTTATTTCAAACCTACCTCAAAAGTCGGCACCCTCAAAGAAAGAGAAAGACACACGCACACACACACACACACCAAGGGGAAAAACACACACACACACATGAGTTGACAAAATGTTTGCTCATTTGAAACTGGTGGTTTTGGTTGCTTTAGGCTTCTCTTTAAGACACCCAGAAGACGTTACTTGTGGTCAATCACTAGTTTGGGGCTGTGGGCCTCCAGATTGGAGGAGTGCTCCCCCGTTCTCATGCGACGCAATGGAACCTCTCCCGCCATCTCATGGTTTTGAAAGCAGCAGCCAACGACGCACTTTCAAAAACCTGTCCAACAGCATCCCGCTGTGGGTGAAGATGGGATGCGAAGCGGTGGGATGTTATGAGATCCTGGTGTAATTGTGCGTCGCCTTTCATCGCGTTGGGAGGATTTCCATGTTAGTTGGGGGGGGGGGAGGGTAAAAATCTATCCATTTTGGGAATTGATGTCAAAAGCAACCCCCCCCCCGCCGGAACAAAAAGAAGGAAAGGAACAATTGGCTGTCGTTGGACACTTCCATTTTGCTCCTGTGCTCCTGTAGTAAACGAAGCTGCCATGGGGCGGTGTGGCACTGTGTTATGTGTCAAGGGGCACCCATTTCGGACGTGCCAAACACCATCTGAGTGTTCAAAACCCGAGCTGGCGTTGGGTTTAGACACCCCTTTATATAGTCCAACGTCTGTTGCTTCAGCGCCATGGAAAAACAGAAACTCTTTACAGCAATGATAGATTCCCTTCAAACCCAGCAAGACAATATGGGCATGTCTTCTTTTAGCCCACCCCCAAAGTTTTGTAGCCTTCTTTTTGCCTTCCCTTTCAACACCACAAGGAAAAGACGGACACCGTCAAAATCGGATGGGCTGAACTGGTCCTCCATGTCCCGCTTTGCTCTCGGATCTCGGGCGGATCTCGGGGCCCCCGGCGGTTTCTTGATGATCTCCGGCGACACCGCGAGCGCCGGCAAGTGCTGGATGTCTGGGTCGTGCCTCGGCGTCCATGCTTACGTTGAGGGCGTGCACGTGGACGGAACCGACCTTTAAACAAAAGAGCCCTTGAAAGGGCAAAAAAAAAAAAGACACCTGGCAAATTGAATGATTGTTTCGAAGCAACTCCCAGAGACACTCTGGCAAGAGCATGTGGCGAATCCCAACTACTGCAAATGCATGTTCCCATCCCCCTGCTCTAGGGGGGAGGGGGGTGGGGGGCCCCCAATTCCATTTATCTAGTCTTCCCAATAAAAGGGAAAATGGAACCAGAAATGGATTTCCAGGGGTCAGCCCCCAGGATGGTTTCAAAACAGAACCCATCCAGTTGATTCCCTTGTGCACCCGAAACCAAATTGACCTGGGGAATCTATATACGACTGTGTGTGGATGCTGTACATTGTGTACATATGTGCATACATGAGCATGATGTGGTGTCAACCATCCCCCAACAAGTACACATAAGACGTAAGACTACTGCTTCACACACCCCACCTTTTCTCTCCTTTTGCTTGGGGAGTCGATCGCGGTGAAAAACGACCGAGGCGCTCGATAGAGTTGCAAACAATGTGGTGGGTGTTGTGGTTCCGCTTCCACCAGCACACGGAGATCCCCATGAAGCCCACCAAGGAGGAGCAGAAAGCGTGGTCCTCAGATCCGGCATAGGTTTCACAGCTGTTGGGGACCCCAGGGGCCTCAATGGTTTAATGGAGACAGGTTCCAGCTAAGTCTGGAAAGAGCAATCAATCAGGAACCCACCCTGTTTCAACATGCTTCAGCCACCAAGGTTTAAACAAGATGTCTCTCCCTGAAGAGACCAGGGAGTGGTTCTGCAACTGGGTTCAAAACAGGGGAGTTGGAAAAAAGCAACAACACCCCCTCTTGGGAATATTGTTTGATTCTGTGCCATTTAGTACCCAAATCAACCCCGCAGCCGTGAGCTTTGGTCGCAAACACATACAGGTCGGCTTGGGGCAACCGTCCCTGCCAGTCCCTTGGCATCCGCAGAAGAAGTAGGGCGCCGCAAATTTGAAAAGTCAGCGCGTGGCCCAATCTTTTTGCCACCGAAACACAGAGGTTGAGTTCCCCAATAGTGAATCCAAATCTTGGGATTGCGTCTACCTTGGTGCCTGTACTAGAACATGGAAGCCTAATTCACCAAGGGAGGCTCAGCGGAAACGTGTGATGCTTACAACCACCCCAAAAAGAGGAAACACGGGGAGACCAAAAGAAAACCACCCATTTCGGGAGATTTATAGGGACCAGCACGTTGGAACTAGCCGCAAAGTGGAAGTGGTGGGTGATACCGCTGTGCCCCATGTCGTGCCCGATGCCCGCCAGCTGCTGCCAGAAGAGGCCCATGACCTGAGAACCAATCCCCCGCTTGCTTCAACCCCGCGCGGGGACTTCTGGTTCGGTGCCTGGTTTCCATGGGTGAGCCCTTTTCGGGGAACTGAATGCAGATTGATTTGCCACGGCGCCCGGCCAATCCGTTTACCTGTTGGTTGTCGGTTGCAATGCTAATTTCTGCGCTTGCTTATTTTCACGCGTGCACTTTGCTTGTGCATCTATCTTCCTACTGATTTTTCTATCCGTTTGTCCATTTATTCATCTGTCTATCCATTAATCCGCCTTCCTGTCTGGCTATGCATCTACCTAACATCTATTCAGCCAAAAACAACCTAATCTAATCCAATCTAACCTACCTATCTGCCTTATACCTATCTATCTCTTTGTCCCTCTATCACGTGTCTAGACGTGTCTAAAACGTGTCAAAGTTGGATTTCGTGACAAGTGCACACTTCGAGTTTGGCTTGCGCGAAAACATTCCGTGGCAGGCACGGCACTTTGAAGCAAGCTTTCATTTGCGTGGCAAACGCAGTACTTTGAAGGGTCACGCGTAGATTTCCGCATCACTTTGGAGCAAAAACCGCTCATTTCGTGCCAGGCACGCTATGATTTCGTGCAAGGCGCTGCGCTTTGGGGCACAGAGGGTTCTTTCGTGGCAGGCGCAGTACTTTGTCCGGGATTTTCGGAACAGGGCCTCAGCGCTTTGACGACTCGTAGTAAATAGATAGATCAATAGGTAGGTAGGTGGACAGATAGATAGACAGATAGATAGCTAGGTAGAGGGAAAGAGAGATAAAAAATAGATAGATAGACAGGCAGCTAGACTGATAGATAGCTAGATAGGCAGGCAGGTAAAGAAAAACAGGAGGCCGGTAGGTAGATAAACAGAAGCAGACTTCCAGCGTAGACAAGATGGACAGTTCGGTAGACAAATAAAAATACAGATATTTCAAGTGGGTTGGGTTGGAAAGATAGACAAATCGATTCATTGCAAACAGACCGATAGCTACGTGGATAGATGGCTGGATGGCTGGCTGGATAGCAAGGCAGAGTGGCAAAGAGATGGATAGTTAGATAGACAGATAGACAGCAAGGAAGATTAAAAAAAGTAAATGCATAGACACATAACTAGATTAGACCAGGGCAAGGTTAGAGTAAATAGATAGAGAGACTGCCAGACGGACAGACAGATGGGTGGACAGACGGACGGATAGATAGATGGATTCACAGATAGACAGATACGAGGGGTGGAAAGGTAGATAGAAGGACAGGTAGGAAGGCAAGCAGATCAATGGACAAACGGATCGATTGTTTGGATCGAATGGTTCGTAGATGGAAAGGTAGAAAGACAGATAATATGGTTAGATCGGATTAGCTGACGTGCCCTATAGATAGCTAGAGAGACTAGGCAGATGGATGGATAGATGGACATGTAGATAGATTGATAGGTGATAGAAGGTTGGCTGACAGAAAGATAGGAAAATAGATAGAAACAGACACGAAATAGGTCGGATGGATAGCTGGATGGATAGGCAGACAGACAATCCGATAACTAGATAGATAGAAAAACAGATAGGCAGGAGGGGTCGGTCGATAGATAGCTAGCTAGGACCAATCTTGACAAACTGTCAGCTCGCCAACAAGACACCTCAAAACGACCACCTGTGAATCGCAATCACAATGGCACAGAAATGCAAACGCGCAACCTTCCCAAACACTGCGCCTGCGCAAGGCGCAGCTAAACGGCACGCAACGTCGCAAAAGCTATGACTTGCGCACGGGGCGCAACGAAAACTGAGCCTTCCCCATCGGCAAGGCAACTTTCGCCAGCTGCGAACGCTGGCCACCTCTTGCGACCGCTTGCGTGCTCGCAAACGCTGGTGAACAATTGCGCGAACACGTGCGGACCTGCGAGACATTCGGGGGATTCAGGCCCATACTATAACCTTTTCAGAAACCGGGTAGTGGCATCAGTTAGTAGAATGACCAATGGAACCCTGAAAAAGGGGCGGACAACTATCCACCAAAAACCGCAAACAGGGGCGTGCTTTCTAAAGGCCCCTTTGTGGGGAGAAAGGCCTCGGAAAACATGACACCTATAGGTGTTAGAAACTAGGGCCCTGCGTCCTCCCTTTGATACTGGTTCTGAGCGCTACAAAGACAAGAAAGGGAAGATGCCAATCATTTCGTGCTTTACAAGTGAGACTAGACAAGGACAACCTTCTTTTGGTTGATTGACTTTTAAGTGAACTGACACTAGCAACAAATAGGAAACCCACAGCAAAGAAAGAAATAGTTGCCCCTTTCTGGAAGAAAAGGGATGGAACACCTAGAACAAACGCAAGAGGAATTTCCTTGATAGGCCTTTGAAGGGAAGGCCACGGACAAAGGCTTTGCATGAGAGACTGGGGCCTGCAAAGTTCTGCTGAAACCGCCCAATAGTTAAATCACATCTGCTTTATGGGGCATCTGATCCTACTTGCCCAGCGGTCATGGGAGGCAGGGGTGCACCCTTCTTGTCGGTTCCCAACAAATTCCACAACCATAATCAAAGGGAGTCTAAAGGAAACTATCAAGGTTATGACTCAACAAACGACAACTGCTCGCGCATTGTGCGCCTCCTTTTGTTGCAGATTGGTTGTGAAAGGAATCCAGTTAAACGGCCGTCAGGTGCTTTGCTGCTTGACACGTTTCGGTAAAAGCTCATCAAACATGGAAACGGGGGGATGCACTGCTTGACTGCGAGTGGTATCGAACATGGACTCGGAGCATTGCCTTGAATCTGGTCCACTGGTGGCCCCAAAAATCTGTGATACCGTTTGCTCAAATGAACATGGAACCCAAAACCTTCAATCTTTGGAGGCACTCCTTGCTGAATTCCAACCGCTCACTGGTAGAGCTTGATTCCCATTCTAAACAAAGGGGGTCGTCATTTTGGATCGTGTCAGCAGGAGACCAGAAGAAAACCGGCCACTTGATTTGCCCAGCTTGAGGAACACCCCTGTTCATCACCTGGTTCGCAACCAAGGCTCAAAAGTTAAGCGTGTTTATGTTGGTGCCAGCCACCATGAATATGCAAACAAGGAACAAACGTGCCTTCCTCTTTCCAGGTTCCTTTTCAAGTGCTCCTTGAATCCATATGTCATTATGTTGGATACCTTGAGGGTCCAGGTGTTACCCAACCAAAATCTCTATAGCTCTGCTTGTATTCCGCGGCGCCGCAGCGCCGGCCATGTGCGAAGAAGTGGACGTGCATCCTGGACTCGCAAAAAGCTTCGACCGATGCAACTTGGCACAGGGGAAACCATGGGATTCCGGGTACTCAGCTGACATTACCCTACCAACATGTCTATTTCAACTCAAGCACTACGGGTAATCCAAAAATCACACTTTCTGACTTTGCGTCATTCGTCTCGCTCAAACACTATGTTGGTTTGCAGGAGAATAAGGAACCGTGGGCCTAGCCTTGCCTCGGGAACCGAGCAGAGGGAGTTTGAGAGGCAAACAGAGAACGTTTTACGTCTGACTCTGTTTCCGTGGTTCGTATACCAAAAAAAAGAAGTCCTCAGCCTTGGAGAGCCCAGAGATGCTTATTGCTGGGGACCGGTCCATGTTACTGGTTTCATGTTGGCTGCCCACTCAAACACATCCAACACAGGGTTCACCATTGTGAGACCCAGGTTTTTCAATTTTGAGACAGATCCAGATATTCACCCTTTTGGGACTCCCTCCTTTTACGGGTGTTTCGAAAAAACCAAATGCGGGCCCTCCAGGTCCTAGATGTCCTTTTGAGTTCCCAACGTCCGACAAGGGGACCACCAAAGGGTGGGCAACATCATACTGGTCTGAGGCTTCGGTCCCAAATCGGTGGACGGCGCAAAAGTGCCTGCAGCGGTTGAGCCTTTTGTGCGCTGTGCAACACCCTCTTTCTGCAACTCTCCAACTTTACCAGCGTTCTTTATTAGGATCTGCTTGTTCCTTAGGCATGGCTTTGTTTGAAGGACGTGTTGAGACAAACTATCCCGCTTCAACAAATTTGCTGATCCATTGATGCATCAAAGCGTGCTGAGCGTGGCACGATTCGGATGAGCGTGTATGTAAAACTGTTGAATATTCCACCGCCGCGTTCATGCCGCTTGACAAAACCACCAACCAGCACAGTAAAAACGCTCACATGTGTCAAAGAATCGGGAACCCTTGCATGGTGATGTTACTTCTGGTCCTTTAAACACCTTCAAACCAACCTGAAGAGGGCACCAACTCCAAAAAATAAGACTCTCCTTGGCGCGGGGTTGGCTCATGCCCTCATCGACCATGGCCAGCCCCGCCTACAGAGAGATACAGCGCCAGAAAGAAGAGGGAGACGAGCCTAAGCGCGTGCTGAAGCGGATGTTTTGCAAGGATGATCTGGCTTCAATGCAAAAAGGAGAAAGAACAAACCACCTGAAACGCAATGGCCCTCCAAACTCAGAGAAAGCAACTACTAGTTTTCGCCGCAGCCCTTCAAGGCCAGCAGAAACAAGTTCACAGTTTACTTTAAAGGCCTCAAAGCGGCCTCGAAACGCGAATCACTGTGGGGCTTGGCCCCCGGAATCTTGAACATCTCTCGCCGAGGTCTTCTCATCACCAGCCTCTCGCCGCTGACCTCCTGTGTCCACGCCAAGACCCAAGGGAAATCAGCGGCTCTGAGGGTTAGGTGCCTCGGTTCATGGGCTACCCGCTGTCCTTCCATCCCAAAAAAGAGTTTCGTGCTTCAACATTGCACATGTTGCTGAGATGCAGGATCCCGGATCCCCAAGTAGGAAACATTCATTCATTGTGTTTGAGCTCATGCTGTCCAAAACCCGTTGGTGTTTGGCTCTAGCAAAATGGTTGTGGCTCAAAATGAAAGGGCTAGGGCAAACCGCAGGTTGTAGTCTTTGGTTCCGTTTGCTTCAAGGTGTAATTTGTGTGCATGTCTTTTGACTATGGTGGGTCAAATGGTTGTGAAGATGTACATTGACCATGGGTTGATTGCTCGTGCGAGGCGCCACGCGGCCATCTTGGCGTAGAAGCGCATGTCCTCATGGGATGAGATACTGTGGATGGACGAAATCTGTTTCGCACCACCTAAAAATCCCTGGAATGATCATTCCGCTGCAAATAGCAACAAATGGCTTCCCATGGTTTCAAAGTGGTGCAGGATTTCGTCCATCCACAGTATCAAAGCCAATGGGCCTGTCTTTCTTTGAGGGTCTTTTTTCTGGGGTGGCTTCGAAGGGACACCAGGGACACCAGCATTTGCGGGTTAGCTAGAAAAGGACACCTCCATTTCAGCTGCAAGGGGTATAAATCCAGGCCTCGTTGGTGATACCCTCCCATCCACAAGCATGGAACCTCACATGGAGGTCCTGGACCTCAATATTCTATGTTTGTCTTCAAGAAGGGACCCCCCTGGCGGGTTGAATGTTGGTGGACCAGAAGATCTTTGCATTGTTCATCTGACATTCACCTTCAAGTCGGAGCAGCTTCAGGAGCGGCACTGACAGATCGGAGTCTCGCAAATGCAACTTCCACTTGCGCCATGGCAACAAACCAGGTGCCCCCCTCCTGCACACATCGGGGTCACAACCCCTCAATGCCCAATGGTTTTTTCCCATGTTTGGGCCTTCACACCTGCATCAGATCAAGACTACATGCGAGTTCCCTTCATGGTTCCACCGATTTCCACCTGTCATCGCAAGGAATCATTTCAAGGGGTAGGTCCCTGACATGGACAATGCGCGTATATGAAGGTACACGCACATACATATATATATATATATATGTATATTATGTATATATATATATATACATACACAATGGCTCCACGAAGCAATCATAGAGGGGGAGGAGGGGCCCAGCCCACTAAATACCGCATATTTAAGCAGCGGTTGTGGGTGGCGGGCATGACACAACAGGATGTGTCCCAGACCCCTATCTCAGGATTGCTCGGTCTAACTTACAGTGAGGTCGGGTGACCTCGCTTTAGTCTACCCAGATACGTACATGTGCACACATTCACATTCATGTGTATAATGTAGCCAAGCCTTTTCCTTCACAATGCATGCTTGATTTGTTCTGTTGCGTGGAAGTGTATTCGTTCAACAATGCATTAATATATGCTTGGCTCACCTAGTCACACGCAAATGAGTATCTCAGCCATGCATGCATCATACCCAGCTAAGCGCACATGGTACCTTAAGGCGTGCTTTCTGTATTTTTGTTGAGAAAAACCGAGAGACACGCCAACCGGTTGCGGGACTCTTCCGGAGCCCGCGGCTTAGAAGCCGAGCAGCCGTCTCAAAAAGGCCGCGCCGCAGAAGCTCTTGCCGGATGGCCCGGAAGTCCTCGCAAGCAGAGCGCTTCTGCGTGCTGTTGCCAGGAACAAAAGACATGGTCCATGGCTTCCCAGAATAGGTGTCCTTTTAGCAAAATAAATCGCCCTGGTGAATGGAATGAAACCAATCTAAACCAGTGCCATCTATTTCTAGGTAAGCTAAGCCAAAAGGACGCCTATGCCCAGAATATTGTACCCCACCGACTAACATGGAAGTGCACAGACCCCTGTGGAACGACGACTTTCCCCTCGGCGGTAGGGTATCTACATGGGGGATCTACAAAAAAAAATGCAAGGGTTCCGAAGGGGGAGGAGTTGCGACAACATCCCCTGTTGGGTTTCAAATATCTTCCTGACGATGGTAAGGTTCCAGGCTCAAGACCCAAGGGCTTTTCCCAGTTCCCCAGACGGGGCTTGAGTGTAGTTGGTGTCCCAAAGAGGTATCCTTCGGGTTTGGAACACCCAGGTTGATGACTCCGTCAAGGAAGATACCTAAGAACCACAGCGCGTGGTCAAGGCCGCCCCGCAAGGTCTGGGTTGGAAAGCCTAGCTGCGGCGTTTCATCACAAGGCGCTGGGTGAAAGTATGAAAAGATGAAGGCCGAATCTGCAAACGCCTGGAAAAAACGACGCAAGGCACATGCCAGTGGCGCAAAGGCCCTGGATAAAACAATGAAAGAAAGGAAGACAGGGAGTCTTTGTAAGCTGAGGGGTTGATGTCATGTAGGCTACCCGCAAACAAAGGGAAACGGTACCATGGCATAAGGCATCGACGCAGTAGCTTCCAAATCACACCGCGGTCCTGTACATGCGGCGGCACTGTCACGTTGGTTGCCTGGGGCCGGATGCAATTCAAGGACGGGGGCTCCCAGCCCTTGACCACCATTTAAAGGGGCGTCCAATACATGGCTGTGGATCAAAAATAGGTACCCAAAATGGAACCCTGGTAAATGGAACCAAAGACTAAAACCTGCGGTCCCCTGCTGGCCTAATTTTGACCCACACCCACATCGCGCTGGATCCAGAAGATCCAATCAATGAGGGAAATGTCACAACCGGCCATTTGAGTAGCACCCAACGCTTTTGATTTGGACTTAACAAACATGGCTCTCAATGTGAGTGAAGGTGCTGGCGAATGGGAACCCAGGATTGCTACACCCCTGGTTGCTTGGTAGGTCTCATTCAAGTGGGATCTAAATCATGTTTTGGGAGCACCCTTCCAGCCCACCCAATTGGCTCTTCTTCTGATCAACACATTCTGGCGCTGCTTCTGTGAGCTTCGCTCATTTCAAACAAAGTTGTCTCCCACCATGGCCGGAGGAAGGTCCCAGGCAAAGGTGATGTTCTCAAACATGTCCCATATTGACCCCTGACTCATACCCCCCCACCCCCCGGACTTGGCAGGGTTACAGTAAGGGGGGGTCCCTTTTTTTCAGCGCGAAGATTTCACCAGCCAGATCCAGCCTCGATCCGTCGTATCCTCATTTCTGTGTTCTTGCTCTCAAATTCACGGCAAAGGTGACCAACATGCAGCCATGAAATGGAACCTAAACCAAGTCCTACCAAGCGCTGGCAGCGTCAGTTCGGCGTCAGTTCGCCCAATGAGTTTGCAGTTCCCACATGGCCGGCTTCAAGCGGTGGACCAATGTCGGTGTCATTTGGTGCCAGTTGCTCCAGTTCAACTGTAGGGGGCCTGAAAACACAGAAGTGGCTATCCAAGCGCTTGTGGTTCTGCTCCGGCAGCTAATAAATGAAAGGCTTGTGTTTAGCACAAATTTGCGTTGGCTTCCACATATGCTAGTTTCGCTTGGTAGCCCTTTAAAGCAACCTCCCCTCCCCTCCACTAACATCAAAGTGCGTAGAACCCTTTCCAAAGGACAGTAGGCTCCAAAACGGGGCATGTTCCCTTCCATGTACACTCCAGAACAGCGAGAAAAAAAAGACAATTCCCCTTAGATACGCAATATCCGTTGAGGCGGCCCCCGTTTTGGGGTTCTATGTTGATTTGCGGGCTATGTGAACTGGACGTCGGCCCTCGAATTCCTTGCCTGGCCGATCAGCATGGGTGGCCTGAGCCAAGGGAACTTGGCGTCTAAGAGAAACCCAGCGGCATCGCAGCCAAACTTGAGGCACGATTGATGTATCAATCTAGGGCTTGATTCCTTGTCCATTCTTTTCGATTATCGTTTTTGTTCAAAAACCGGCGGGTTCCCCTGTGTTTTTTGTTTGTTTCCTGAAAAGAAGGATCCCTGGAAAGAATGGGGAAGGTACCCCTAGAATCAAGGGACTGATGACTACTCACACACACACACAGACACACACAGACACACACAGACACACACAGACACACACAGACACACACAGACACACACACACACACAGACACACACACACACACACACACACACACACACACACACACACAGGTTCCCTGTTTGGTTGTTGGATTACGTTCTTCCAAACGCCCAGAACCCATGAATCGCATGAATGATAGAGTTCATTCATCACATGAGCGGGAAACATGGAGGACGCTCTCCGATTCAATTTTCAAGTTGATTGTGGAAAAAACCGGAAGATGCTATATGCCCCCTTGTCCTGCAATCAGGGTTTGCGCCTGTTCCTTCCTCAGATTTCAGCTTGGCGCGAGGGACTTCCGGACTTCCCAAATATCTCAATCGGTTTGACCGCTTTTCATCCCCAAATGCCATCCCAAACACAGCTTGCAGGCATTCCCATCGCGAAGCAATTCTCGCTTCTCCCGGAAATTCCTGTCAACCCGAGTGACCACCTCCTGTTTCCTGTCAAAATGACTACGTCTTCCTGGTGTCCCACGGTTTGCTCAAACAGCAGCCCCACAGCTAGCCTGCCATTGAGAGATCCCTCGAAAGACCACTTTGTTCTACCGACCCGGGTTCACTAATATGTGTTTTGGGGAGGGTAGCTCTTCGATCACTCTTGAATCAAAAGGGTTCACCCGGCAACCAAACACAACAAATATGGTATTTCCTCACAAAAGCAAACCCTGTAGCAGTCTCTCTTGGTGAAATTATTGCGCATGCGCGCAACGCAACGAAACACCATGCCAAGCCACGCCACACCCTAATCAACACACGGACACCAAGACACACAGACACACGGACACACAAACACACAGACATGCAAACACACAAACAAAGCCACACACCAAACACACAGGAATCAAATTTCAAATTTGGCTATTCAGTTGGGGGGCTAGATCCAGGGTCAACCTTCATCACTGAGCTTCTTGTTCAACCATCCTCATCTATGTGTCTCTTAAAAGGAACCATGGCCGGTTCAAACATTTGTTGCCTCCAACAAAACTAATCTTAGCTTCGGATAGTATAAATCTGATAGCAATGCAGATCCGCAGACCTCCCCCTGGAATCAAGTCTTCATGCTCTCATTTTAGTGGCTCGCTGATCCCTTGCTAAAACGTGTCGTTTTATTGGGACATAACAGAAACCCTCTACATCCTAGTCGAAAGGTACTGGGACCCCACCCAGGGGGGCAGGAGATCCGATTTCAGCTGCGACTTCTTGGGGTCGTTGGACGTTTGCCTTCCGAAGTCGCAAGCTTAGTCAAGCTGCAGCATCTGCTTGTAGACCCTTGCAGAGTGGTAATTGGCGAACACGTCGGTGCCTCTCGAGGGAACACGTCGTGCTCGAACCCCGTGCTTGTTGGGAGGGTGGATGGGGATATGGGCGTGTGTCAAATAGGGAATTGGACCATCCGCAATCCCAATCCATCTGCGGGGCACAACTACAAGAAGTAAAACCACTATCCCTCCAAGCATGGGTGCACACCCACCCACCCACCCCCGGCAAAAAAAGAGTAGGTGAACCACTACACAGCGATTTTGAAGTGTCATATTCATGGGCATGGCATACGAAGCAATGATGGATGTTGAGGGTACCTTGTCCACCTTGGTTTGCATAAGAGGAACCCAGCAGCAAAACCACGCAATTTGGGGTCCCTCTTTGACACATACACGACTGGCCATCAATCTGGGTCTAAGACTTCTGCTAAACACAAGCGGGGGGTCGTGTGCCCCTTGTTTAAAAGGGTAACACGATGCTCCAGACGCAGCGTTTCTGGCAGCTTTACCATGCCAAGAAATGGAAGCACTGTCGGTGACGCATGTGAGTCAGGCAAGTAAACATGTGTCCTCGTCAGGAACTCCTCATATAGTCGTCTAAAAAAACGAGGTCCATGAAGATCCATACCAAGTAACAGAGCCTTTGATTACCGGCCGACCTGATTCCAAAAACGACCCGCGACCCGCAAAGTGGATCGAGTCTAAAGGCCTGGGCTTAGGCTCGGGTCCTCTGGAAAGGTCGAGCATTCATGTCATCTAGGTCCTCCAGTGGAGAGGTTAGAATACGGGTGCCCTTTTTTTTCCGAACAGTTGCTGAAAGCTTTGGGGTCTCAGCCCAGATAGGCTCCGGGGTGGTCGGGGGCGTTCCACCAAGGTTCCACCAGGGTTCCACGAGGGCTGCGGGGTGGTGCGAGCACTATAAAAAGAGCGCCGGCTTATTCTGTAGTCTATGTTAGTGGGGGAACCCTCCCAAAAAAAGGGTAAAAGGACTACTGGGGGACCTTGTCATTGGCTCATGGCTTTCCTAGCTCGCAGGGGGCCATTGTGATTCTAACTGACCAGGGTGACTGTCTTTGGATGTCTCACACATCCGTCTCGACAATCGGATGCAGCTCCTTACCACATTGAATCCGCAAAATGCTGACCCAGGATATTCCCGACCCGTTTTGCAATGGATCCGGATTCCCCCGAACCCGGCAAGCGTATTCATCTAGGATCCACCCTGAAAAAGAAATGAGCCGGCTCATGTGTGAAATGTCGAAAGGTTCGCAAGCCAAAGCCAGAGGTCGCAACTTCTTCATCCAAAGATTGACTCGATTTGGCTATGTGTCGAATCGGTCTTCCCTGTGGCTTCCTCCCACCAATTGAGTCTGCTGCTTTTTGTTCCACTGCCGCATGGGTTCCCCATGCTACTGTGACGATTCAGAATGTCTCATAGATCAAAACCGGGTCCCCGCGGTACCCTGTGCCAACACCAAAGCAGCTGTCGTACCCTTTGTGGATCATGGGCCGAAAAAACAATCTGGGGGCCAAACCCAGGGTCGCACTCAATGGACCTTAAGAAGCTGCAACCGCAACCCTGCGCCAAGCTGGCCCGACTTCAGGCAGCCAGAAGCCTGCATTTGTGCCGGCAGCTGCCGCAGAAAGTGCCCACTGTTTGCTGCTCACTGGAAAAAAAAAGAAAACATGTTTTCCTAATTTTCAGGGATGATTTGTTCCCCGCCCGTACTTCGGCGAATTCACTTGCTCTGAGGCGCCGGCAATCCTTACCAGCCATGTTCTCAATCATCAGCGGGCCGCCCGGATGCTTGTCAATGTACCTCGAAACCCGTTTCAAGCCGTTTCAAGCCGTTTCAAGAGAGTGCTAGGGGCCCACGACTCATTTGAGGTCTTTGGGGGTCCCTATGGATCTTGGGCGGGGGGCCCAAGACCCTTTCAATGGAAAACTCAAAGTTCAGCTGAGCGCACAAAACCCGAGCTGAGTTTTGGGACCCCGACCACTATAAAGGACTCGGACTTACCTAAATGTTTCTCAAGTGTCCACTTTGTCAGGTGAGATGTTTGCAAGTTCCCTCGAGATATGTGTCGGTGTGCAGCACGATCATCCCACAACCTTGTCTTCTGCGACGTGTTTTCCGCATTGCGTCGCCCGCCCGGAACTTCTTAGCATCCACTTGGTGTGTGATTGTCCACTTAAGCTGGGGCGGTTAAAAGCTTCGGGGTTCGTGTTTAACTTCCTTCGTTTCAGCTCGTCGGGGATGGAACTAGATGTTTGTAGGCTTTGGGTGGATTTCGAGTTTGCAACCTGGTAGGCTGACCTGCGTATGAGCGTGGGCCTGGGCCAAAACCAAACAAGGGCCCAGAAAAATTGGCAAACGGGCACACCAGTTAGACCAGACCTTGCCCATCTTTTTTCTATAAAAAAACCTAGGGTCCTCCCCACACTTTTAGCAACATTTTAAAACAGCACCTCAAAAAGCACATTTTCAAAAATCAACATTTTAAAGCAGGTAATTTCCTAGTAAGTTCATCCATATTTTAAAAAATAAATTTTACAAAAAAATAAAAAAATAAATTTTACAAAAAAATAAAAAATAAATTTTACAAAAAAATAAAAAATAAATTTTAAAAAATAAATTTTAAAAAATAAATTTTACCAAAAAAAATAAAAAAAAAATAAATTTTCAAAAAATATTATTCCAAAAATTATGATAAATTATTTTACAATAAATTTTATCACAATTTTTGTAGACATATTATGGGCAAGGTCTGGTTCATTCAAAATGAAATATCTCATAAACATAATTATTCACATCATCTTCATCAATATAAATAATATCATCTCCAAGCAAAGCAAAAATGTATCCTTTCAAAAATATCATAAGTATGTTTATTGGATGATAATAGTTATTTCTAAATTTGTATGGTGTCATTAAATATTCAATACAATAATCTGGAACTCGTCTTGCATTTTGTTTGTTGTAAAAATTTTCAAGCACACAATGAATGAGGAGCAAGTTTTTTTTAGCAAATGATTTTATGGCTAATCGGCACTGTTTATCTGTAAAGCTTTTTTTCACATCAACCGCGTCAAATAATTTGTCAATTTCTTTCTTCAATACCCTGTCATCATCCAATATAAAATCATATGTGAGAGGTTTGTTGTTGTGCTTTGAAAACCAGCGTAATTGATATTCTATTTTGCTTAAACCATCTCCATATAGTGCTTTTATTCTATGAATAAACTGTTCTTCCTGTGATATCATATTAGAACACTTGGCGCAATGTGGGTAATAATTACTAATAATATAACAAATTTCAATTGGTATTTTCTGTCTTAAAGTGAATGTATCCCTTTTATTGATTTTACAGTTTTTACAGTTGTTATAATTGAATAGCATTATTTCTATTAATATATATAATTAGTATTTCTTTAAATACTTTGTTACAAGAATTATTTATATTTTAATTTTCAACAATTGCATATTTACCATCATCGCCCTTAATAATCTTATAGTATTCTAATGTTTGTTCTTTTGGACTTTTGATTTGTCCCTTATTTAACATATCACAATATTTTTTGCGCTTCGTGTCATAATCACCGCTGGGTCTGCCTATCCCTTTCTTTTCAAAGATCTTATCAATCTTTTCCTTCTCTTCATTGTTATTTTTTGGTTCGTTTGCCTTTGCATCAAGTTTCTCGTCAATAGTTTTTATCATCTCGTACAACAGTTTAACATTTTTACTAACTGTCATCATCTTCCTTGATAGTTCAGAAATAACATTATTCTCAACTTCAGACATTTCTATATATATTTATTTATATAATTATTTATTTAAATAAATATTTATTTATAAAATTGATTTAATGTAAAATCTACTCTTTAAGTACTAAATTTTCATCATTTGTTTAATAGTTTCCTGTGCTTCGTTATCACCATTATCGGATGGCGACGCATGCCTCCCCCATTTAAAAGTTATATTATGAACATCCGTTTCCAGATTTATACTGTCTTTGGTTTTATCAATATTCATTTTCTTATCGTTTTTACTCAACTTGAAATTTGTCGGAATACACGAACATTTACAATTTCCTTTCTTTTGTATTTCTATTTCATTTTTCATTTCTAACATCTTTTTACACATAGGACACTCAAACTCGGTTAGTGCTGTTTCCTTAACAATTTCTTCTTCTTTGTCTTCATCTGTTGAAGAAACTGTAGTATCCGTTTTATTCTTTTTGTTTTTCTTTTTTCCCATTTATATTAATATTTACATTTTTATTTTTGATATATTGTATTCCTAATTTTATTAATTCTAATGTATAAAAGCATACTTTCTTAATTTTATTGTCAGTTATTATTACTTGTTCTATATTCTCTACTTCATCTATTATATCAATATAATCTGAATAACTTCTATCCATATTAAATAATAAGATGAAATAATTATTAAAATAATTATTTAATCTTATTATTTTCATGCATAATAGAATATTGGTGGGGCACAGCACTTGGGTTTTCATTGCACACGCGAGCAAGACACAAAACTAATTATCTTCAATGCTTATTGATTGAAGCAATGGAAAACCTGTTCCATTATGTTATTCACCGCCACTCATAACATAATGATGTTCCATTTAATATTAATTACAAGTTAATTTTTAAATATAATTTTCTATATTTCTTTAATATCAACTATGACAGATGTCCCAATAATAAAACCAATAAACATAACTGAATATGAATTCAAACAATCCAAATATGAGCACGTGCCAAAATTACCATTTAGAAGTATTATAGTTGCGAGTTCGACGGGAGGCAAAACAGTTTTAGTTCAGAATCGTATTTTAAATGTTTATAGAAATTCATTTGCAAGAATATTTATATTTTCCCCCAGCGTTCATAATGACCCAACTTTTACAGAAGTTAAAAAGTACATCAGGGATGAATTGCACGTAGATGATGAAAAAGAACAAATATATTTTGATAATTATAATCCAAGTGATTTAGAAAATGTAATTGAAAGACAGAAGAAAATAATTAATTATATGAAATCTAAAAAGATAAAGAAACTGCATTCAATATTAATCGTTATAGATGACCACGCAGACGAGTAGGCACGATGCAGTAAGTGTAATTTGTTCAACACAAAAATATAATGTTTTAGCGCCTATCATTCGTTTAAATGCCAGTTCATTATATATTTTTAGGTTGAAAAATGCAAGTGAGTTAATGAGTTTTATTGAAGAAAATAGCGCCATTGTTGATAAACAGCAATTATTAGATATGTATCATCAAGCCGTTAATGACGCACCTTATAGTTTCTTCTACGTGAATATGAATGCTAAAGACATTAACAAAATGTTTCATATCAGATTTGAACAGGCGTTTCAAATTACGAATGATGAATAAAGATATTCTAATTTAATATAATATAATAATATGTCAATGAAACTATGTAGATGTGGGGGATTTTATCGTAGAGGTAATTATAATTTTCATACTAATTCTTGGATACATAAACTTTATAAAGTATTGAAAAGAAGGGCAACAGACGAGGAATTATTAAGATTTCAAAATAATTTTGTTGATGAAGAAGATTTAATAGATGATATATGTAGCAATGCATCAACGAAATTACCCGATAGTGAAATGACAGATTATGATAGTAATCAATAATATTAATTTGTTTTAATATTATTAATTTAAAATAATGAATAATTACATAATTGAACAGGTAATTTATATATTAATTTGTCAGATTTTTCTTGCTCTAGTTTCTCAATTCGTGCCACACATTCTTGAAGAGATTTAATAATTAAAGTGTCTGCTCGTGTTTTTTCATCTATACTTAAATTCTTAATGTCTTCCAAACTATTATTTTCATTATTTTTACTTTGACCAATACCCATTATATATAATATTATTTAGATTTTAATTTTTCAAAATTGAAATGTTGGTTTTCGTCTTCTTCTTCGTCTTCAGTTGGTGCTGGTATTTCTGTTGGACTTTCAGATGAAGAACTATGAACAGTAATAGGTGGAGAACTATGAACACTAATAGCTTCATTTGATGAATTGCTACTGCTACCTTGTGCATGTCCTGCTGTTATCTGATTAACTAAATCTGCGATATTTATAGTTGTTGCAATTGCGCTGTGCGATAAGTTTAATATGATATCTGCTACTGTAGCGCCGTTGTGTAGCATTATTTCTATCATTTTTGTCAGTTTGAACTTCTTTTCTTCTTCATCGCTGTCATCCTCATCTGGTGGTTTCTTTGGTGGTGGTTCTGGCGGTTTGTTGTTGTCGAGCATTTTAGTAAAGGCTGACACCATCGCGTCGCGTTGGTTTTTCAGTGTTTGTGTTGCTTGTGTTCTTGTTGGTTCATTTCTCTTGTGTGTGTTGTGCCAAAAGTTTTTAAGCATTATTTTAAACATATTGTCCTGGTTTTCCTTTACCTTAAACGCTTCAAATGTCATATTTAATGGTTGATTTGCATCATTGTATAACTTTTCTTGAGTCTCTCTGGTTTCTGTGGCGATTGTATCTGTGTTGGTTGCAATGTCAATAAATTCTCTCGGTATGCCCTTTTTCATCAATTTCGGTGGTTGTATTGTTGTTGAAGTGTTTGGTTTCATTAGGTTATGTATTGTAAAACTGTCGTCATCATATTTATCATTGAATTTCTGCTTCTTTCTTTTCAGTATATTTTTAGTTAATATTATCATTATTATTATTATTTATATATTATTTCTTACCTTTGCCCTTAAAACTTGCCTTGAGTTCTTCTATTCTACCTTTGCCTAAATTTACTAT